AGTCATATCTGCTGTGCCTAACAGAAACAAATGCAATACTATTCTGGATGGACTATGCCTCAGTCCATGCTGTATAATATTGCAGATAAAGCCCCATTGAAAATGAACCCACCGTCCAAAACTACACAAACAATATAATGAGTGTCCACTGAGTGGCAGTGTGGTGTGACCAGCATAGTGCAGGCTTTTTTTCATTGTTGTTGCTAATCTTCACCCGAGGATATTTTTCCATTGATTTTTAGAGAGAGTGGAAGGGAGGAGTAGAGACGGAGAGAAACATCGATGTAAGAGACACATCGATTGGTTGCTTCCCACAGCCAGGGCTGGGAATGGAGCCTGCAACCAAGGTACATGCCCTTGACCGGAATCGAACCTGGGACCCTTCAGTCTGTGGGCTGACACTCTATCCACTGAGCCAACTCAGCTAAGACTGTAGGCTTTTTTTTAAAATATATTTTTATTGATTTTTTACAGAGAAGAAGGGAGAGGGATAGAGAGTTAGAAACATCAATGAGAAAGATCAATCAGCTGCCTCCTGCACACCCCCCACCGGGGATGTGCCTACAACCAAGGTACATGCCCTTGACCGGAATCGAACCTGGGACCCTTCAGTCCACAGGCCGACGCTCTGAGCCAAACTGGTTCGGCAAGACTGTAGGCTTTTAATGCAGAGATACCAGGGTTCAAAACTGGCTGTGTCTAGTCAACATAACTACTGTAATCTTCAGTTTCATCATCTGTAAAATGAAGATGACACAATATTCATCATGGTACTTTTGTAAGGGTTAAATAGAATAAAAACATGCAAAAACTCCTGGTATATAGTACCCAATTTTTAATTTTTTCATTTTAATGAATTTCTCTTGAGATTTAGTTTCAGGAGAAAACAGTTTCTCCTTACCAACTTTGTGCTTGTTTTAATTAGCTAATTAGAGTTATTTAACACAAGGACTTTCCCTTTTGCCTTGACCAACAAGAAACTTAAAACTAAACCTTATTGTTTCATCATCCCTATGCCCCTTAAAAATTTGAAATATAATATATGGATAATGGAGTGCAATATCTCAACCCTGTGTCTTTTAAGCAACTTTAAACTCTTTTTTGGAGGAATTACAGTGTAAATAAATAATGGAAAGATGCCTTATAGTCATTTTCTCATTGTTTCAGACTTTGTCAAACTTCATTCAACTATCTCATCTCTGTTATTTTTCTGTTTAACCCAAGCTTGGAAATCTCTATTTGAAGAGTTCAAAAAGCAATATGACTCAGAATGATTCAATCTGTATTATGGTAGCAAACGAGCTTACACTTTCAAAGTTCATGGATGCTGATGCCAGGTTATGAACCACATGATGAGGAATGTACCAGTGGGTAGTAGAAGTGACAAACTCATCAATGATGTATTTTTTTTTTCTCAGAGCAAAATGGAAGCTGCAGAGATAATTAAGTACTTGGTGTTCTCTTTCTCATTTTATAATGGTTCTTATTTTTTGTGGTTACGAAAAGCTGATGATTAGTAATGGTGAGAATATCTCTTCTCTGTGTCCCTCACAAGTAGCTATTCTTTACCATAAAGACAAATAAGCAAAGACAACCAGAATGTACTTCTTAGAACAGTATATATCTGCTTTAAGAACTATTGCTGAACTGTCTGCTTAGTTTGCCCTTAGGGTTAATAATGGGTTAGTTGAGCCTTTATGTAGAAAGAGTCGGGCAAATAGAATACCAAACATATTGTGGATACTCAATAAAATACTATGGCTGTGAAACTTGCAAGAAAGAAAGCCAAGAGATGCATGCTGGCTTGAATTACAACAGGGTATTTCACCTCATCCTGAGATCGCCTGGATCTCAGTAAGACTAGACAGACTCTCTTTGATTCTGAACAAGAAAAAAATTTTTTTTCAAACCACATTCTTCTTCCTAATACTCTTCCTCCATTTCAACTCAGATTTTTTTTTTCTCTCTCCCTCTCTAAAGTCTAGACTAACTATGGCAGAGTCTGCAAAGTACTGTATTTGTTTAACTCACTGGGTGGCCTAACAATGCTAACTCTTGGGACACATAAAGATAAAGGGTCCACCAGTCCAGACCATTTCTTGACAATTTCTTGGAGGGAAATGAGCAAAATACAAATCAAAAGAACATCTGAAAATCCATCCTGTATAATAGAAAGCAAGAGATCTATAACTAAAGCAAGTTGTTAGTTGGTGGATTCACTATGAACAATTTGGCTACATCTGGTAAAATTAGAGGAAGTATGGTGAGAATTCACATGTGTTGGAAATCCCAGCAGATCAAAGACTCTTAGCTTAACTCTTTCCTAGTAGATCTAAAAACATCTGCCACTCCCCGCGCCCCTCCCACCTCAAATGTCTTCCTCTCTAAATGTGCATGTTATGTTGAAAGGAGGAATTCTAAGAGCAGAGTATAATGATCTAACTTTTTGAGATGAAGGCTTTAGCAAAATTATTTTACTAGAGGACAACAGGGGGATGGGAGAATGAGTGTGCGGGGCTGAGGGGGGGGGTTGGGGGTTAATGGGGGGGATGAGGACACATTTGTAATACCTTAACTAATAATAATTTAAAAAAATAATAAAAAATAAAAATTAAAAAAAATAAAATAAAAAAAAGAAGACGGTAAATATGCATGGAGTCTAAACAAACGTGAAACCTTTCAAATAATTCCCCTTGAGGTATTAACATTTCAAAATCAAGCTAAAGTACTAAAGAAATAATTGATACAACTTTGGAGAAAATAATTAAAGGTAATATTAAAATTTATGTTATTCAAAAATACTACAAAATTACTGACAAAATCTAGACTTGGTTAAGCTGATATTGCATGTTAAAAATAAAGGATAATCATCCAGAGAACAGAAATAGCAAAGAAAAAAAAAGAAATGAGGAAATAATTCATTGAAACTATTATTTTTTTATGGATCTTTAACAAAAATTTTAATATTTTATATGATTGATGGATAACAGTGGCTTTCTTTCACTTCTTGGGTAAATTTATAGTTTATATTTTCCTAAAAATCTATTGCTTTTATCCACATTTTCTATATATTGATATGATATTACATAGAACACTGTTTTTTACTATCTCTAAATATACCCCCTTTCTCATCCTTAATATTATTTATATATTTTTTATTTTCATAGTTGTGAATTTTTAGTTATGTTTATTATCACCTTGTTTTTCTCCTGTACCTTTTCCTTGCATATGTTTTTTTGTTTTAGTGTTTTTTTTGTTGACTTATAAGAATGCTCAACACACAACAAAATATCAAAACATTTATGTGTGATACAAATGCTAACATATTCAAGTTTAAATTTTAATGTAGTCAAGTATATCAGACTGTAATTTTTCTTATTGTTTATATTTTTACAAAGTTCATGTTCTTTACAAGATCAATTAACTGTTCATATGCATATTTTATAGCTTATAATTTCACTTTTCAAAAACACTGCAAATCTGAGACTTATTTTTGGTGTATTATAAAATTTAATAATCTATGGAGAATTTTTTCACTAAATATAACTCTTTTAATATAATTTGTTAAATAATTTTCATAATAAAAAAAATTATTTTACTAGATAAATAATGCAGTTATCACATTACAAAAAATTTTTGGCCCATGGTCAAAAAGCAACCACAGGTTTAAAAATCATTTAATAAATGTCAAATATTTCCTTTGGTTATTCCTATTCATAGACAATAATCAGCTTCATTCTTTAAATTTGGATCAAAAAAGTCTGTTTCCACACAGCCAAGACAAATGTCCTTGTTGGTTTGGAAAGGGCTTTCCTAGGACAAACGCTGTTATACCGGTAGGCCCCCGCCAACTACACAAGCATTTTTTCTTGAAGTAAAAGTCTTGTTCTCTGGTCTTCTCCTATGGTGTTCCTTCAGAGACACCAGGGATTAGAGGCCTAAATGAGAAAAAGAAAACAAACAACTTTATATAGAAAAATATTTTTATATCAAGATTGGAAAGAATTTCCTCTCTATATATTTTATGCTTTTTATTATGGGAAAAATTTAACATATACAGAATTAGATAGAATAGTATAATGAACCCCCATTGCTCAGCTTTGACAATTACCAACTCATGGCCAATCTTGCACCAGCAACTCCCTCCCCATATTATTTTGAGGAAAATTTCACGCATTACACTATTTCATCTGTAAATATTTGAAACTGCTATCTCTAAAAGAAAAGGGACTCTACCCAAAAAAAGACCTTAATATCATTATTACACTAAAAAAACTTTTATACTAATTACTTGAGCTGGTCAAATTGCTGGTCAGGAAGGATTTCTTGAAAGAAAGGAAGAAGTCTCTTGGGAAAGGAGGGAGAAGAAGCCAAGGAGAAGGAAAGGAAGAAAGGGAGGGAGGGGGAGGAAGGGGTAAATAAGACAAACCATAAATATAAAGCAAAAGGCACAGCTCTAAAGGAATAACTTGATGCATTCTACCACATAATTTTTTAACTTATTTGAGATACCATAAACAAAATTAACAAATAGTCCAGACAATGGAAGAAGATATTTGCAATGCATATAACAGACAAATGGTTGTTATACTGAATATATAAAGAACTACACAAATAAGGAAAAGAAAAATAATCCTAAGAAAATTTTATAAAGTATGTGAACTAGCATAGCTAAGGATGGTCAATAGCACCAGTAATCAGGGAAGTGCAAATTAAAATCATAGTGAAATACCAGTTCACACAGTCAAACTGGTAAATATTAGAGTCAGACATATACTAGTGTTGGCAAAGACGTGATCAATAGGGACACATCCACCACTGGTATGAGAATAAATTCCCCTAATCTATATCAGGGACCCCTGTTATTTTCTCCATAAAGACAGGGACCATAAGCTTGAAAATACTGGATTTGATAGAAACAAGAGAAAAGAACATTGATAATTGTAGATGCCATTATCAAAATTTTTTGAAAATGTACAGAAAAGGGAATCACAGAGTGAAGAGTTTGTCGGTGCTGTGGACTAACAGTGGACACTCAGAAGGACATCCAACCCCCAAAGCAGCAGCCAATGAGATATATCTGTGGAGAATGTCATATAGGAAATGAAATTAAACCCAGGGATACAATCAAATACAGAGAATGTAGATACAGAATAATGTGCAAGAAAAGGTCTAAAAGATTGGTGGTTTTTGATGCTCAGTGAAATATGGAATTCAAAAGAATATCTTTGTTCTCATTTGGACTTGCTGTAATTGTTGTATAACTTTTGATTAGTGTACTTATCTTTATTAACACAACTATATACACATGATTTCATTTTTAAAACAATATTGTATTTAGGTATCTATTCATAGCGTATAGCCTGGCTGGCAAGGCTCAGCAGTTGAGCATTGACCTATGAACCAGGAGGTCACGGTTCGACTCTCGGTCAGGGCACATGCTCGGGTTACCAGCTCAGCCCCAGTAGGCGGAGTGCAGGAGGCAGCTGATCAATGATTCTCTCTCATCATTGATGTTTCTGTCTCCCTCTCTCTTCCTCTCTGAAATCAATAAAAAATATTTTTTTTAAAAAATAGGTATATAAAGAAATTATTTTTTGTTCAATCACATGATATGTAATTTAATGTTATTATATATGTCATGTCAGGATGAAGGTTAAAAGTGCTTCCCCAAACCACACTTTTAATGAAAACCTAAGATCACTGGGGCCTTTGTTAAAAAAAAAAGTTTTCACCCTGGCTGGTTTTTCTCAGTGGTCAGAGCCAAATATACCTCTGTTGCACGCTCCAGCCCCGACCCCAGTCAGGGCACATGCAGGAGGTAACCAATCGATGCTTTCTCATATCTATGTTTCTCTTTCTCTGTCTTTCCCCCATCCCTTTCACTCTCTGAAAAAAAGAAAAATCAATGGGAAAAAATATCCTCAGGTGAGGATTAACAAAACAAAAATTAAATAATACAGTTTTCTAGGCCGGCCAGTGTGCTTAGTGGTTGAGTGGTGGCCCGTGATCCAGGAGGTCACGCTTTGATTCCTCATCAGTGCACATGCCTGGGTTTCGGGCTTGATCCCCAGTAGGATATGTGCAGGAGGTGGCCAATCGATGTTTCTCATCGATGTTTCTAGCTATACCTCTCCCTTCCTCTCTCCAAAAAATCACTAAAATACATTTTTAGAAAATGAAACAAAATAAAGTGTTCTAGGGCTCTCTATAAAAAAAAGCACAGAAAAAAATTTTACTGTACAGAAATTTTTTAAAATTATGTACAGAAAACTAATACAAAAATCAAATCTTTGGCTCTAGCAGGTTTGGCTCAGTGGATAGAGCATTGGTCTGTGGACTGAAGGATCCTGGGTTTGAATCTGGTCAAGCGCATATGCCCGGGTTGCTGGCTCAATCCCCAGGAGAGGGTGTGTAGGAGGCAGGCGATCAATGATTCTCTCTCATCATTGATGTTTCTATCTCTCTCTCTCTCCCCTCTCTCTTCCTCTCTGAAATCAATAAAAAAATATTTTTTTTTAAATCAAATCTTAGTTGTAACATCCACAAGGTAAAAAACGTGTACTACTAAAACTAGTTTTGGCAAATCAGAAAAGAAAATGGAGATTAAAAATGGCGACAGAGTAAGTGGATGCTGCACGCACGCACTCCCAGAAACAAACTGGAATTACAACTAAAATACAGAAAAATTTCCTGAATAATCAACAGAACACTTGCAGGAGAGTACCCTGATACCCAAGGACCGAAAGTGGAGGCTGCATAGAGACTGGTAGGAGAGGCGGAGGCACAAAAGGGCTGGCCGGACTCCCACAGACAGCAACCGAAGTTCCAGGGAGATATCTCAGCTGTGGGGGGTGGCCACTGAAAACTCTCGGGTCTAATACCCAAGCTGGGGCCCCCCAGCAGAGAGCACCACAACTGAGAAGAGTACCCACATAACACATGGCTGTGAAAAGCAGCAGGAGTGCTGTCTGCCAGAGAACAAAGGCTGGAAATTCAGGTATCCTCTTAAAGGGCCAACACACAAAATTCCCTGTGGAGCCACCCACCTTGTGCTCCAGCAGAGGGAGGGCGGAGTGGACTACAACTGTGTGAGCAGAAGCCAAGATTGGGACTCAGGAGTTAGAGCTCAGAAGGCAGACACCCCCACTTTCCTGTGCTGAGTCATTCCCTCACACTGAGAAGGTCATCTTTCCCACACAGACATTTGCCTTGCCTCAAGGGGAAGACAGTTGACCCACCCTATTGTAAAACACCTTTCCTTAAGGCTACTTAAGAGACTAAAAATAACAATTAGCCTCCAGGCAGAAGCAACTGCCCCATCCTGTTTTAAAAAAACTCTGGCCAGCCCTAACCGGTTTGGCTCAGTGGATAGAGCGTAGGCCTGTGGACTGAAGGGTCCCAGGTTCAATTCTGGTCAAGGGTATGTACCTTGGTTGCGGGCACATCCCCAGTAGGGGGTGTGTAGGAGGCAGCTGATCGATGTTTCTCTCTTATCGATGTTTCTAACTCTCTATCCCTCTCCCTTCTTCTCTGTAAAAAAATAAATAAAATATATTTATAAAAAAAAAAAAAACTCTGGCCACAACTGAGGACAATTTCCTGGGGGCAATTCAAGTCAGAATCCTATCAATCTGTAAGCAGAGGTGGTCTCTGGAGGCTGTGAGTCTTTGCCTGATCTAATTAGTCAGAAACAGCATTTGACACTATCCTCTACTAGAGATTGAGGGACATAGAGGATCTACCTAATACATAGTCATAAACCCAAACAGACAGCCAAAATGAGGAGACAAAGAAACAAATCCCAAATGAAAGAACAAGAGATTTCTCCAGCAGAAGAGATAAATGAAGCAGAGATAACAGAGTTCAGAGTAATAATGGTAAAGATGCTCAACTGCATAAATAAAGATATAGTAACTATGAAAAAACAAGTTGGAAATAAAGAACGACATCCTACTCGAGAGCAACTAAGATGGCGGCATAGGTAAACACCGGGAAATTGTCGCCTCACACAACAATTGAAAATTACCGCAAAGGACTGAGCAAACATCATCCAGAACAACAGGAAGGCTGGCTGAGTGTAAATTCTACAACTAGAAGGAAAGAAAAGCACGCTGAGAGCCAGAGGCGCTGCGGAGGTGAAGTGCAGAGGTACGGCGGCTCGCGCGCGCGAGGAAAGGGGGTAGCACCTGAGGACGCGGCTGTCTTTTTGAATCACAAGCTCCTGACTGCTCTGAACTCCGGTTCCGGGAAGTCTCTGGGGACCCAGGGCTCATACGGAGAGAGGCTGGTCTGTCCGGCAGCGGGCGAACTTGAGGGCGGCTTTCCCTCAGAGGTGCTTGCAGCCATTACCGGGACACTGAGACGCGCGACTCCGGGCGGAGAATCAGCCATAGCTCCCTGATCCGCCCTTTGATTCCCTGAGACCCCGCCCCACCCAGGCTGGGGCAGAGGCTTTTGCATGTGAATGTACCTAACTGCAGCCGAACCAGGCAGACCCTGAACTTCCAAGAGAAGGCCCAAGGCCCCGCAGCGGCTTGCATTGCTTCACAGCTGAGCCTCTTCGTGGCTCCTGCTGTGTGGCCTCAGGCAGAGGCTGAATTAGCACCTCCTTAGATCCAGGAGCCACTGTACCCAGTGGTCAGAGGGGGTCCATCCAGACTGCAACTCCTCAGATCCATAAGGGACACACTCAGGGAGCAGACTCAGTGAGCACCAAAGCCCCACTGAAGCAAGTCTTGCCCCAGAAGGGTGTCTTCAGCACAGAAGTTCTCCCACTTTAGACACAGCTGATTCTCACAGCCAATTGGCCTGGAGGTCAATTCCTCCCAGAGATTCTACAACAACCAAGGCACCAAGAGTGCACCAAGAGTGTCCACCCCAGTTACCTGGGGTGGCTGAGCTACTGGGCCCTACAGGACACCTGGCGCGCAGGGCCACTCTATCAACACAGGGAAGCTGCCAAAATGCGGAGACAAAGAAACAGGTCACATATGGCAGAAATGGAGGAAAGCAAACGATTGGAAGTAGAGTTCAAGGCCACGTTTATAAGGTTTTTCAAGAATTTTATGGAAACCACCGATAAATTTAATGAATCCCTCAATAAGTATAGTGAGACCATGGAGGACATGAAAAAGGACCAACTAGAAATTAAGCATACACTGACTGAAATAAAGAATAATTTACAGAGATCCAGCAGCAGACAAGAGGATCCCAAGAATCAAGTCAAAGATTTGAAATACAAAGAAACAAAAAATACCCAACCGAAAAAGAAAAGAGATTCCAAAAATATGAAGATAGTGTAAGGAACCTCTGGGACAACTTCAAGCGTACCAACATCAGAATTATAGGGGTACCAGAAGGAGAGAGAGGGCAAGATATTGAAAACCTTTTTGAAGAAATAATGACAGAAAACTTCCCCTACCTGGTGAAAGAAATGGACTTACAAGTCCAGGAAGCGCAGAGAACCCCAAACAAAAGGAATCCAAGGAGGACCACACCAAGACACATCATAATTAAAATGCCAAGAGCAAAAGATAAAGAGAGAATCTTAAAAGCAGCAAGAGAAAGACAGTCAGTTACCTACAAGGGAATACCCATACGACTGTCAGCTGATTTCTCAACAGAAACCATGCAGGCCAGAAGGGAGTGGCAAGAAATATTCAAAGTGATGAATAGCAAGAACCTGCAACCAAGATTACTTTATCCAGCAAAGCTATCATTCAGAATAGAAGGTCAGATAAAGAGCTTCACGGATAAGAAGAAGCTAAAGGAGTTCATCACCACCAAACCAGCATTATATGAAATGCTGAAAGGTATTCTTTAAGAAGAGGAAGAAGAAAAAGGAACTCTTACCATTTGCCACAGCATGGATGGAACTGGAGAGCGGATAAATACCACATGACCTCACTCATTTGTGGAATATAATGAACAACATAAGCTGATGAACAAGGACTGATCCAGAGACGGAGAGGCATTGATTGGACTGTCGGGACTTGGAGGGAAGGTAGGGGAGGGTGGGGGTAAGGGGGAAAGATCAACCAAAGGACTTATATGCAAGCATATAGGCCTAATCAATGGACATGGACAACGGGGGGGGGTGGGGGGTAGAGGGTAACGTGGGGACAAGGACACATATGTAATATCTTAATCAATAAAAAATATATAAAAAAAAAAAAGAACGACATCCTATCTAATAAAAGAGAAACATGGTAATTAGCCGTAACTTTGCTACCATTCCCATTTGCTAATCAGGGTGATATGCAAATTAACTGCCAACCAAGATGGCGGCCAGCAGCCAGGCAACTGATGGGAACAGGAGGTTTGCTTGCTCCAGTGACGGAGGAAGCCAATGTTCCCCGCCTGCCGCTGCTGGGCTCTGAGCTGCTCTCTAAGAAACATTGTTACAAATATAGAAGCTAAACAAAACCACAGAAACCTGCTTTCAGTCAGCTGGGATCTCAGAGCTGGAGTCACAACAAAGTTTCAAATACAGAAGGTAAACAAAGCCAGAAACCTGCTTTCAGCAGCCGAAGTCTCACAGCTAAAGCCGGGTCTCAGCTCCAGTGATAGCCATAGAAGGTAAATAAATCGAGAATTAAAAAAAAAAAAAGGAAGACACAGCAGACTCTCATAGCCAGTTAGCCTGGAGGTCAAATCACCCCGGTATTGCCGACATCAATCAAGGCTTAAAGGCAACAAGACTGCGGTCAAAGACCACTAGGGGGTGAACCAAGAAAGCATAAAAAATGCGGAGACAAAGAAACAGGACAAAACTGTCAATGGAGGATATTGAGTTCAGAACCACACTTTTAAGGTCTCTTAAGAACTGTCTAGAAGCTGCCGATAAACTTAGTAAGGCCCTCGAAAAGACTGGTGAGA